TTCATATAATATTATAATATAATATTATTTATTTACAATGCAATATTATTTATAATTATGAATATTCATACATGTTTATGTATATTTATACGTATTTATAAATATTTGCATAAAAGAATATTTTATTGAATAATATTTTAGCAATATTTTCATATTGTAGTATTGAAACGAAAAAATAATACTGCTATAATATTGCTGTAATACTACGTGCTAGTGGTATACTAACACGTAGTATTACATATACTAGAAGCTATTGTACATTCTTTTATTATAAAAAAGTTCATGTTTTTATGTATAACTCAAATGTATATAACTTTAATTAACTGAAATTATTTTGATAATTATAAATTGTGTAATAAATTGATAAATAAATTCATAACAAGTAATAATTATTTATTTATGAGCAGTAGGAAGGTAGTAGTTGAACAATAATCTTTCAATATAATTCTGAATATTATAATGTGTAAAATAACAATAATAATGCTTCACAACAATTCTTCATAATTGTGTGTGTGCGTGTGGGCGCACGCGTGTGTATGTATACTATTCATAATGATTTAATTCAATGTAATATATTGAATACATTTCCATGTTATATGTCAATTTTTATCAATTCAAATTAATAACAAAAAAAAAATTTTAATACATTATTCCATAGAAATAATACACTTATATATAATACACTTACATATTTAATATTTTTAACACTTATTTGTGTAACAAAAATTCACAGATGACATTTCCGAATTTAATTTTTCGCCATGCATTTTCACCTCTAAAATTGTTAGTCGGTTTTTATGAATTACAGCCAAAAAATGTCTCTTTCCTAAATTATTGAAATTTCTCACTTTAAAGTTGTATAACTTATCAACTTTTATTTGTATAATATTTCGATGCACAAAACCTTCGATACCTTGAAAACAGTTTTGTGAAATGGAACAATTATATTATTTTATGAATACAAAAAATATCTTTTTTCTTTAATTTCTTCTATTTTTTATTAATTTTATAATATAGTATAATTACCTTTATATTCGTACACTTGAATAATATCATTATTTTCTACGAAAACAAGTAATGTTCCGAGGAATCCATCAAAATTTAGAACTAAAAATGATTTTGGTTGACGTGCTTTTATTGTTTGCAGAATTTTTGTTTGTGAAATGTCATTTTTGCACAACTAGATAAAATAATGTGATTAATACGCTATATAATACAATTATATAATAATAACACACAATAATACAGCAAAAGTTTCAGTTTTATGGAAAGAAAATGTTTTTTTATAAATTAATATTATCCTTTTACAATAAATAGCAATTATCGAATTATAAAATAAGCTACATAATAAAATGAAAATGAAAATTATATTTAACTCACATATATATCTTGGCTGACTTTTTCATTATAGTGGATGTACTCTTCTTTTTTATTAATACCTACTTTAAAAGTCAATACGCTGCCACAACCAAAACAATTTTTTAAACGTGTGTCGTTTAAAGATCTTTCTTGTAAATCATAAGATAGAGATTGATTAGTTAGTACAATAGGCTCGTTATTTGAAACCAAATTTAATGTCTCATTTTTGTACGAAATAAGAGTCTTTATATCCAATTGCATATTAGATGGTGCAATTTCAAGATTCTTTTGAATCATTGCTATAAATCCATCTTGATATAAATTCATAATGTCTGTGGCATTATCAAGTTCTAATACATGCTATGAGAGAAAAAATAATATGGAACAAATTAGCAGAACTTATTGTTATAAGAAGAAAGTACTTATTTTATAAATATTTTTTATCTCCGTTTAATTGAGAAATTTGATTTAAAATACATTTTGCATATATTTTTTTAAATAAATAAATTTATACGTGCGTAAATTTATACGTGTGTCTACGCATTATAATAAACTTACCACTATTCTATTATTTTCCAATTTCCATAAGTTACTAAGACTTCTACCACAGGTTCGTTTTACGGTTGTAAGCAAGTATAAAACGCGATTTAATTTAAAAAACATCCATTGATTAATTAATCCAAAATCGGATACTTCATCGATCACTTGAAAATCAGTTTGAGTATATAATAGAAGTTTTATATGGCAAATGTTGTAATTTATTAATATATAATTCATATCATTTATTTCGACGGTATGGATATTATGAATGTTTCCATCAAATTCTTGGATTTTTAAATAATCAAACGTGTTAAATTTATATATCTGTTTTATAGCATTGCATTTGAGTATATCCAAGTGCAATGCACACACGTTATTTAAATCCTTCTGTAAAAAATAAAATTATATTTAGAGCATAAACAAGTGAGAGCGTTGGATTCTTGTGCAGAACAAATTTAATAATGTAATGTTACTAAATTGCATAGAAATCAATATTAATTTTTAAATCTGATAAGATTCTTATTATTTAATAAAATTATTGTCAATATTAATTTATTTCATTATAAATACTATAATTTTCTTACATATGTTTCCTCAGTAATGTGATTTATTTCGGAATGTTTTCTTGTTAACGTCGATGATATGTCAGTGATATTAATTTCATTCAAAATTTCATTTCCATCAACGTTCTTTTCAAAATAGACATTTCCATGCACTCTCCATTTTCCTGATATAATCTGTTTTGTTTCGTTTATCGTTTTTATTACTGCTCCTTGCCAATTAATTGGGTTTATTCTGTTTAGAAGACCCAAAACCATGAGATTTTTATCAAGGATAACTGGAGTTTCGAACATAAAGTTTCCTAAACAAAAATTATATAAATTTATTATTTTTTATCATTAGAATTTAAATAAAGATTATTCAAATGTATTCATGCTGAGTGCTATTAAACACTGAAAACTGGTTCATACGACGTAAAATAAAAAAAGGTGTTGTATGCACGTACTAAACATTTAAACAGCACTTGAAAATTTTACGGCATTTATAAAACTGATTGTTTTATTTCTTAATTTCTACCTGTTAGAGCGTCGTTTGCAGTTGAAGAAACAATTCTCGGTGATTTAAAATTATTGATTAAAT